ACTCATTTGCCATTCTTTCGCTCTTTCTTCCTCGGCGTATACGTACAGCATGCTTTTGTATGTGCAAGCGTGTGCAGCCTGTAATCATGTACTATGCTAGAGGGGACCGTAAGATACTAGCTGCATCAGCTAGCTGACACCCTTCGGATACCTAGAGTGAGGACTACGAATACTGCTGCTGCTGCGTCGGCTGTTCCCTGATCTCTTCGCTTTCTGTACTAATCTGTCCTTTTAAGTTCTATCTCTCTCTGTGTGGTGCCCATGTATACGTGTCTCCCTTTCTGTGTACACGCATATATATGTGTATGCAAGGAGATGTGTATCTACTTCTCACTGTTTTACACACGTGTTTCACACTGTCGCGGTTACCTGCTGGGGAAGAAATTCAAAGAGCGGGAAAGAATGGTACACGAGTGAAGATTCTGTGGGCGGAGACAAATCTGCACATACTATATATACGTGTATATATATGTATATATACATATGTCTATGTATAGATATGTGCGCGTCAACAGATGCGCGTGTATGTCTCTGTCTCTTCTGCCCTCTCTTCCTATCTCCGTCTCTCGCTTTCTCCATATCTATGGACATATATATATGTGCTTCTCCACATATACATGTATATATATACGTGTCTGTATGTGCATGTGTACCAGTGTATGTTTACGATTTCCTCATGGTAGTTAAGGAGAGCCGCCCTTGAGGAGACGAACAGCAGCAAATGAAAACCTGATTACACCGGTGTAGTGAGAAATACTTCGTATTAGCTGGTGTGGTGCTCGTACTGGAGACACACCAGCAAGTAATCGACTATATAAGTGAAGAAAGAAGCGGGTACGTGAAAGGCGCTATGTCTGGGATAGGGTCTGCCTGGTAGCTGCCACGTCATCCGTGTTCGTATCTCGTAAAGCAAGGCGTACGGAATCTCGTTCCGCTGTTGTGCGAAACTCATATTCACATGCATACGTATGCACACGCACATATACACCTGGATGCGTATGCTTCTGTGTGAGTCCGCACAAATGACTGCACGCCCATACACCTATTGCATATGTATAAGTATGGTATGTAAGCATGTAGAGAGAGACAGGCGCAGAGAGAGAATGTGCGGCATGTATATATATATATATATATCTGCGCCCAGTTTCTTCGTGGGTGACTGTATACGTATGTACTTGTCCAGAAGTATATGTGGATCTAGGCGTGTAGCCCTACGTATACCGTCTACGTGCATCATTCTGCAGCATCCGCACACGACAACAGGCGCCGCACAGGCTTGCTTTGCTGTGTGTGTGTGGTTTCTTCTCAACAGGAATCATCCGAAGAGGAGGAAGAAGAAGGCTGCGGCATAATGTAGAGAGCTGCTCTGGCTTTCTTCTTGGGTATCATATTCGCATTCCGCGTTGGACGTAGTGGGTCCATACACATCGAAATACATTTACTGCGAAGAGTGACAGCGCGGACAAGGTCCAGGGAAACGACGCTGCCGAGTGTGTGCTTACGGTCACGCGGTATATATATATATATAATATATATATATATATATATATGTACATATTCGTATACCTACATCCATGTATATAAATAGATGTACATATGTATACGTTTTTATACCTGAAGATGCGGTGAATTCGTCTGCGTACGCCTATACGTCTACACTAGAAGATGGACAATATCCGACACTCTCCGTGCCCGCCTGTCGTATGCGTAGAGACTCGTTTTCGTGCACGTCTTTACACGCGTTGCAGTAAGCGGGTAAAAAGACTATCGTCTTTTCGTGTATGCACGGTCTACCAGCAAAATAACAGCGAGCGGATAGACACTTGTGGGGTGGACACATATCCTATCCGTCCATGTCTCTCACACATGCCCCGCCCTCCGTGAGGATTGAAGACACGTCTACTCTGTCATGTCCGCATACATATAAACAGGGGCTGGTTTTAGATCTTGAAAGGCAATAAGATCTGCGCTGGCGCCGAGCAAGAAAGAAAGGCAGTGGCGACAAAAGTAGCGGTAAGAATATGGTTCGTGCCTGTGCTTTCATCAAGACATAGCATGCTGGTAGCAATTTCAGTTGGAGACGACGACGCTGCGGGAACAGCTAATCGTGCTCGGGCTCGGAGACGTCATTCAAAGACACTCTGTAAGCGCGTGTGTTTTACAAGATCTCTCCCAGCCATGTGGTCAGCGTCTTGTCTACTGCTGTTTGCTGTCTCCTGAAGAGAAAGCGAGACAGAATGCTCGCACGCCTTCGGTGTTTCTCTATTATTTGTAGAACCGGGGGTCGTGAGTATCCTTTCACAGCATTTTCTCGGAGACTGTGCTCTACGAGGCCTTTTCCAGTCACACTTACTAGCCTTACTGGTGTACGTTCGAGGAGAGGCAGAGACCGGCACGGGATGCAGCTCGACCCTGGGCTCGCGGCCGTCGGTTGCCTCTCCACCGTATGTGAACCAGGATTGCAAGTGCGCTTGCAGGAACACTCCGTAGATGATTGGGCGCTACGACGTATTTTCCAGTTCTCGTAATGAGCTTCTTGATGACAGGTGTAAATTGTTTTCGGAAGGGAGGAAGAGAGAGCGAGTGCTGGCTTATTCCGGACTCGCGGCCCTTCAGCCGCCTTTGTCTTTTGAACCAAATTGTGCATGCCACAATTGTCTCCGTCTTCGGAGTCCGGTTTCTGGCTTCGTACATCAGATTGGTCGTTTCTTAGGGTGCCAGTCTTTTGTGCTTGCTTTGCTATCGGTACGTGTGCTTGACGGTCCACGTGTCCGCGGTCTCCAAGTACAAATTACGGTGTCGTACGGTCAATATGGAACTGTGCGAAGGTGCCGTTGTCTTTTGCTGTTGACGCATGCGGCTGAAGGCGGAAGAAAGTGCAGTATTACTGTGGCACCCACGGTAGCGTCGGAGCTTTACAGAAAAACCTCTGTTCACGGAGGCTTGTAAGAACGCGCTTTGTTTCTGAGAGTGCTTGAGCAAGAATCACAGCGCCGTTGCTTCTCTGGCAGCGTTGCCTGGTGATGCAGCGCAAAGACATCGCAAGTCGGCGCCATAAGTATTTTCGACCGTGTACCCCGCCTGCTCTGGCGTCCAGCGTCTTGCACGTCTGCAGGCAGACTCCTTCTTTCTATCGACAGGTGCTGTCTGGTGCACCGCGGAGACACTCGACGTGTAGGCTGTCTAGGGTGTTCCTTTGACTGTGTCCTTTCCTTTTATCTTGCACGTCTGTTATAAGGTGCCCCTCTTCCGTCGTGTACCCAGCCTCCCTGCACCTTGATGTCATTGAATGTACTGGTTTAATAATATACTTATCATTCTCTGAAGTTCACTGGCTCGCGCGCTTGCAGGCAGAAGCCTTTAGTCTATCTGTAGATCAGACAAACTGTGGCGGGCGGTCGGTCTGAGGAGAGGTTTCTGAAGGCACACATTTCGAAGTATAACCTCTTCACCGTCGCGTCTATTTTTGTACCGGAATGTGTCTGTCTTTCCTCCGAGAATGTTGTTCCTTTAGAAGACCTCGGGTTGTCACAGCGCCGGTGCTTCGCACCCGCGCATACAGCTTGTTTGCACTTCGCCGCCCGTTCATCCTCTCCCCAGCCGGCCGCCAGTAAGCATGCATCCGCACGTAAGTATTTAGTAAGAGAGGAAGCTTCGCCATTGCACGGAAACACGCGCCTGCAGCGTCACGTCAGTGCAGGTGCGCCTGCCTTACACGGAGTGTACAGGATCCCTGCCAGCCAGAGGGCTGGCATCATCAACAGAACGCGCCCCCACGGCAAAAAGTGACGCACACGCCATAAGCGCTCACTCACTCTTACGAGTTCAGACCAAGCTTTTCGTCTTCTTCGTTAGAGTGAAGCGGCAGCAATCCCGACGGCGACGGCCTCCCCTTCTAGCGCCTTACGCAGAGCTGTGTGCGCTACTCTCCTTGTCTCTCATACGCGAATATCTTGAGAGGTCCCTCGTCTGACCGCAGCTACGCGCTAGGCAGAAAGTCGACGGCGTTCTCGCCTTTCCAGGTTGTTACGCGTACCGTTTACCTGTGACATACGGCTTCCACCGTCCTGGCCATTTACGAACGTCTAGGGTTGTGCAGCTGATTCAAGCAGCCCTTAAGGGGCGAATGTCTCTGTGACCCTCTCCTCCAGACGGGACAATCGTTAACTGTCGGTGGGGCTCCACGAACGGCGCCCTCATGAATCGTAGTGGTAGTTCTACGGTTAAAAGGCAGCTCCTGGGAACGGCGAGCTTGAAGCATATGGCTTCTGTTACTGGTGGTACCTCGCCGGCCGGCTTTCTCCCCTCCTATAACCACTTCGAACAATTACACCCCCTTGCAGGCTAATACTTTCACAGCATCGCAGGATGGCACTTATAGGTTTTTCACAGAACGTCGTCGCTTGTTGTGCTTATAAGTATTCACAGGCGGTCGCAGACGCAGTTTGGGGAATCTACGCGGAGATGCAGGCCGGTTGGTCAAAGGTCGACACACGTTTGTGCCGCTGTCCCTGCCTATATCTCTGTAGTGCCAAGAGGCCGGTGCGCCCCATGGGTCCTGTGCGATATGAGGGCCGCACGAGAAACGTATCCCTTTTCTCGGGCAAGGCGGCGAGAGCCCCTTCGCGGGGGAGGCGAGGGCACGCACTCACACGCAAGAGAGGAGTTTCGGGCCATGGCCACAGGCTCCCAGGGTGATACAGCGCAGACCGGTACAAAACTCTACACACGTACATATGAGCGCGTTCGTGTACCCAGACGCTGGCATCGTTCTTCTTTTGCCCAGGTACGTTAGCAGGAATCCTACAGCACCCTGCAACACCTGCGTACAACTGAGCGACTGCTGGCGGGCGTACGTGTGCCCCTGTTCTTTAGCGTACGTGTATATTCTTTGTAAGGCTCATCTGGAGTCAAGGAAACGTCACTCCACTTTCTTTTCGTTGGTACGTTTTTCAAGGGGATTTTTTGTTTACTGCTCCCTGGCGGCTGGTCTCCACGCCATGCGCCAGTCTTGCGAAAGAATGAGGAGGATAAACACAAGTGAAGAGAGAAAGCGACGGAGAGGCGGCTGGCTCTCGAAGTATCTAAGGGACGCCACGGGCACTTGCGACAGCTCATAGGCTAGTTTGACTCATCGAAGTAGCGGCGGCTGAGTGTTCAGATGCCAGATTACCGTCGCACGAGTAGTCTACGGTGCAGGGAGACGCTGCAAACACCTGTGCCTTTCGTTTTATACGAGAGCGTGTATTGCACAGAGAGGAGAAGGGTGAGAAGTACATAGAGAGGCGCCTCCGCATAAATGAAATTTTATTGATCAGGCTCACGTACATGTACGTATACGTGCATGCACATGAACTTTGAGTACGGACTGCAGATGGCCCGTCTGCATGAGCCTCAGCGCGGAGGTAAGAGAGGCAGTGCACGGAGGACAGCCTACACCCGATCCTCGTGCTGATGTATTCAGAGCGCTGCAAGGCTGCTTCCAGCATCCGTGACTACGCTACGCTGACATCCATCTGCACGAGCGAGAGCAGCAGTGGCGTACACCAATAGTAATCCCCTTCGGCAGCGCCAGTGGTCTCCAAAATCGCTGCTTGGCCTTCGCAGAGTAACAATGTCATGTGTCATCAGCGACAGGAAAAAAACTGCGGTCACTTGCTTTAGGGGTGCAGCTGCCGCGAAAAAAGGGCGGCTGCAACGCTTGACAGACACACGCAAGCACGCATGGCTCTCTTTGCATGCAATCACGTGTGTGAATGCGTGACTGACGACAAAAATCAATACGTATACAGATAAATATATTCGTATGTTTATATATATGCCGAAGGCTCGCGGGTTTCTTTGCATATGTAGACAGGTGCACATGTAGATGGGCGCGCTCATACGCCTTCGACTTGTGCACTTTTACCCGTTAACATCTGCACACACAGAATTCCGCATTTTGAAAATAGGCACTGCACACAGCGCAAAGCCCAAGCCGTCTTTATTTTTTGTAGCAGTTCCACTATCAGCCGACTTGTGCACTTTTACCCGTCAACATTTGCACACACAGAATTCCGCATTTTGAAAATAGGCACTGCACACAGCGCAAAGCCCAAGCCGTCTTTATTTTTTGTAGCATTTCCACTATCAGCCGTATGAGTACTGTCCGGGTGTGTACATGTCTCCAGGCTCCTGCTTCAAGAAAGCTCCAACGAGACGGTACCTAGGTGCTGGTGTTTCTCCATACTATTGCAGGAGCCGCGGCTGCACACTGCCTAAAGTGGTAAAGCCGCCAAGACTGCAGTGCTGCTGCTGCTGCTGCATGGCTTTACAATTGCGGCAGCTGCTCAGTACCCGTCCTCGTGTGCCGATGCTGCACGGCTCGTAACCGAGACCGGAACAGCTGTGGTTGATACATGCATGTCCTCATGCGTCGTCAACCTGTACGCAGGAAGCTTTGCACAACTCACAACCAAGCACTACATGTAGCGCCTCCGCTTGGTATCCTCCTTTTTTTCCATCATATGAACGCAAGATTGCCGGTGCGGGGGAATGTGCATCGCTCCACGACACTGCATCCAAAGACGCACAGCAAGCCAGTACCGGAAGGGTGCATCCGCTTCTCGCTGTCCACCTGCATCTGCACGCTACCTCCTCCCTTGAAGCTAGATCCCCTGAGAATCCTGCTGCTGAGTGGTATTTTCGCTATTGCCTCCCTGTGTACGAACTGAGCAGTATGCTTTGTCTCAGCTGGCAACACAGCGGACACCGGCGGAACTCCCCGAGCTCTCCGCTTGCATCTCCGGCTCGGGGAAAAGCGTAGGTGCAGAACAGGTGCAGACGAAGCTAGTCGACGGGCTCTTCTGCAAGTCCCCGTGCCCTGCTGCGTTATTTAGTCGTCTTGCTATCCGCGAACGAAATGGAAGACATCCAACGGAGCTCTAATCTCGCCGTCATGCCTCTTCTTATTCGTGATATACGCTTTCATGGCAAGGGAGCCGGCGTACAAAGGGATGGACTGCTATTCCTTTGCAAACCCGGTGTATAAGTCGCAGTGCTCTTCCGCGTGTCTACGGTTTTCTAGCCGCTTTGACTAGCTAGACACATGTTCTGGGATACATGCACAGGCGCATAGTTTACGCGCGTTTGCCCACGTATAGACCTGCAAGTTTTCTAATCCTCGTGTGTAATGGAAACGGCGCCTGCATGAACAAGCAACCATCGGGTAGGCAGCACCTCGATACCATAATTGTTTCTTTTTCTTGCACGCTTCTGCTGGTGCAGAACAGGGCCCCGAGATCGTTGAAAGATCCTCACACGCCCGCGTCTTCAACAACGGCAGTCGCACTTCTATCCACAAAGCTTGACGAACACGCGGCACTCGGATGCCCGCGAGATGCGCGAAGTGCTTAGAATACACTGGGTCTTTTTCGCGCGCTTCTGCTTCTGCAAAGTAGCGCCTGGACTGAGTTCAGCGATCCCTAGAGGCCCCTGTGTTCGATTCTGTGCGTCTGCTTTGTATCTACAAGATTTTCAGAAAAGCGGCGTGCAGCCCAATCCCGCATGCTGTGTACAGTGCACACGCGCTGCGTCGAAAGCTCCTTGCCGCGCCTCCTGACTGTACCTTCCGCTGCTTAGGTCTGCTTGTACAACCAGTACAAGGGCGTCTCACGAGCAGCAATATAAAGCCCAAGCGACTTCAGCGTCCACACGCCCGCGAACGGGCTGCAAACGGCCTTCAGCGCCCTCAGCTTGTACAGGCCTCTGGCCGGAAGTGGACACTCCGACACACTGACGGATCGCGCAGGTGTATATGTCTGTGGAACCCCGGTTCGACCGCGGGTAAAGCACTCGTCCTACCTGGACGGGCGGCCACGTGTTGTATGCAGGAAGATACGATGCGGCACGGTCGCACACAGGAAACTGATGCGCTACCGCGGAGAGACATTCAGTTGATTCGCTTTGCTTTCGGGTGACCGGTTGTTGTGTCCCACATGCCTCATCCAAACACGCACATCGAGACCCTGTGAAGAGCCACATATACGCATCGAGGCTCACTAATACATCTGCTTTGATGCCGGTGCCGCTCTGGTTCGTAAGATGGACTAACACACCTCCTGATTCCCACAATTTTCTCGCGTGATGATGTGTCTACTGCGACTTCCGTGCTACTATCAGCGTCCTCGCACACGGATACGGCGCCAGCGCTGATTTACTGTAGTACAATTACAGTGCCAGCAGCGTGATCACACAATCGAGATGTCCAGCATTTCCTTCTTTCACCGTTACCTGGCAACATCAGAACATCACATTGCCACCTTCTATGTGACCCTCCTTGACGGCACTGTGAGCACGGAAGACAGCTTCGTTCCGTGGCACAGTACACGCAGTGCTACTATATATAAACAAGAACAATGTGTGGGACACGGTGCCGCCCGCGTGAGCGCCACATAACGCAGTGAAGAGACGTCCGAACTCACCCCTGCGCAGCAAGAGCAAGTACGCTGCAGAGCCTCCGATGAGTAGGCACGCGGAGGCTTGTTAGCATTCGCATACATACTTCTGATCATCCGCGCGGCAGCGCAGGTTCGCCCTGATCGAACTACCGCTTCGGCTCTCGCCGCTTCCGCCCTCACTACTGCTACCGCGTCTTCAGTGTCCACGGCTCCCACTGCCGCTACTAACAGCACGACCTCCTCGACGACCGCCTGGTGAGTGCTACGGTCAAGAGGCTCAGCATCGATGTATGTGCTTACTTCCATAAAACAGCTAAAGCCTCCAAGGAAGCCGTGCACAAAGAACGTTTCTATAGGACGTAGCGAAGACCCCTGACATTGCACGCGCATGCATCACAAGAATCTGGACTCTTCTCAAAAGCTCTACGTCCACAGATAGAACCTCCATATGGCCAAGAGGTCCCGGTCGTGGAGGCAGCACCACCCGCAAACTAAAAGAAATGCAAGCTTGATTAAAAAACACACAAATACATCCCGGCATGTGTCCAGCGGCGATACTTCTCTGTACAAAGTGTATCTGAGACAGGTGATTCCTACTGCTCTTCGCCACCCCGCCTTCTCGGCGCTCTTTGAAAAAATAGATGTTAAATTTGCCTGAAAGGCGCCCGCCTCTGGCTTGTGAGCATGAAATTCTGCCTCTCTGCGTAGCGGGGCTGTGTTACTCTTTAGCCGCAGCTTGTCTGCTGCAGTCGGGTTTCTCTTTGCCCCGTGGATCCGGCCAGAAGCCCAGAGCCGCTGTGGTGGGTCCGCAACCGCCGTTCCGCTTGGAGCACCGCGGAAGAGGAGACGCTCCCCACGTCAGACCAAGCAACGAGAAGGCGGGTGATTACCCACTTGTCCGCGTACATTACAGCGAAACGGGGCCAGCTCTCCAACTTACAGCTTGCGTGTTCTCGTTCAGGACTCGCACGTGAACCAAGCCAAGTGCCTTCAGCACAGGCCTGTCGATGTCTGCAGGTCACAGCGCCCCCTTCTGGGCCCAGTGCGCATCGGCTCCAGTGCTATGCAATGAGCAAGGGCGGCAACACAACCTGCAGGCCCCGCTACCGTTTGCCCCCCGTCGGTAGCGAGGCTGCGGCGCGTGGGAGCTGCCTGTCACTCGTGCCTGTAGTGCATTCAGGCGGGATCAGCTCTCACAGTGTCGCTAAACAGCGTCTCATGGCCGGGCAACCACGTGGCAAAAATACATCCTGTGGCGGGGTATCCCCTCCTTCGTCAACGTAATGAAGTGCCGGCTGGTTAAGCGACGCCGTCTCAGCTTACTACCCTGCCTGGCGTAAACCCCCGGATCGCGCGTGCCACATGCTGCTGTTAACGACGGCTCGAGGTATCCTTCGGCTTTCCGTATCTGTACGCGAAGCTGCTTCACAGCGTGCGCAAGCAGAATGAACCTGCGTGTTTTCTGTGACGACGTCGCATACGGATGCGCCAATCGCGCATGTGACGGCTTGCGGGCGCTCGGAAGCAACCATACACGCGATTCCTACTGGGAGCAAGCCTGGTGTCGACGTGCCGCTCCGCCAGCTCAGCCTTTACAGTGTGAGCCGGTAAAAAAGTTACTCTATTATGTCGCGGGCGCGTGCCAGCGCCACTGTGAGAACGTCTCTGGCAGCCTCTCTAATATTTGCGTGAACTTTTCCCTTAGACATTGGCACCGCTTAGTAATAGTCTGTGCTGGCGATCATTGCTACGCGAGGGAAATCGCGCTTTACGGTGTATATATTTTTTGTTCGACAAAATGGGCGGTTGCCCGTCTCACGGTGGCTGTAGACGCGTGGAGCATGGGCGACAGGCTGGATGCCACTCCACATACTTCTCCGACGGTGGTCTTAGAATTTACTGCAGACGGCGGCGTTGGCGTCAACTATCTCTTGTCACTCTTTTAGTCTTTTTTGCGGCCTCCCGCGCTGCACTGGCTGCCGGCCTTCCGCCAGCAACCCCCTCGCGCCTACCGCGTCTTTACGGCTGGAGCGCGGACTGGAACTCACCTTCTTGGCGGCCGTTGGATGATTCGGCGTGGTTGTCTCCTAACTCTCCGCGCATAAGGGAAGCACTTGCGGAAGAAGAAAGCAAACCCGCTGGTAGTGATCCGAAGGCGTACGTGGTTGAACGGTGTCTCCAATTCGATGGGACCCTGGCACTTGTGCGTTTGACGAAGAAATGAAGCGAGAGTGAAGGCGCGACTTGGTAAGATGGCGCATTCGTTGCAGTATTTGAAGGCCTCGTGTCTGGCAGATGGTTTGTTTCGACGCGAAATGACCGCGTTTCAGCGAGGGGATCCGGATCCTCCTATGTTGCCTGATCACTGGCATGATGTCGAAGTGCTGCTGTTACAAAGCTCACACACACTTTTTGCCAGATGTTATTTTTGCCTTTCGCGATGTTGAGACGCCGTGGCGTATCGCACCGTCAGGCGGTCAGGTCTGAGGGGTCCGAAGCGCAATGAGATGAGGCACCGAAGACGCCCGCCACCGCAGGGCTGAATTGAACCGAATGGCACACCATTTCATTGTGAAGAGCACAACTTGTAGTGACCAGGTTATGCGAAGTCAAGCATGTCTATTGCGAAACAACGAAGGAAGTATTTTTTCGGGTGCGACGTAAGAGGCGGCGGGGGATGCATGCCTGTTTAGTTGAAGGTTGTGCACGTTTACTGCTGGCGTCGGGTGCTTACTGAATAGCACGATGTATCGGACATTAACATGAAGTCCGCAGGAAGTATGGTTTCTTGGGAGTGCGACGGCGCCGCCAGGTGGGCGGAGCGTTGTTGACCAGTGTAGGTGCGGAAGAGGGGCGTACAAAGCGCCTGACAGTAAGGTCGGGTAGTGAATCAGGGTTGCCTACAGGGCAGCGTCCTTTTCAGCGTTGCGGGTGAAAAACTATAGGAACTGTCGTTTGGAAAGCCGTTCAACACTTTACGCAGGCGTACGGAAACTGTGGTGTTTCCCGATTGGCGAATTTTATATGCCGGGTATTTGTTGCTTGTGCAGCGCACGTCGTCTGTAACGAAGCCACAATCACGCCCAGATTTCACAGTACTGTGTCTACGTAAGTGTCGGCGATTTCGGGGCGTTCAGTCGCGGGCACAAGGTGGGGACAGCGTGAACCGGGATGCTTGTTTTTCCTGTGTGCCTCTCGTGAGCATTTGGCCTACGCGAAAGTACCGCAAGTATTTGAAGGTATCGCAAGAGGACAGCATTCGCGCTTATCACACTGATTACATGCGGGACTTCTTACCCATATGCGAACATGCATCCGGTGGGAAGGAAGCGTAATCTCTTGTTTGTAAGAGCTTGATACGAAGTGCGTCAGCGCGTTGCCAGTTATACACGGTGCCCGCGTACAGAGCCAATCCAGAAATCCACGCAAGCGCGCATACGCGGGTGCATGAGTGTAATAGTGTTTAGGCTTCGGTTCTGCCTACCTGACGCTCTCGACAGAGTCGTATTTTCCCGTCTGTGCATACAGCATGCGTCAGTGTGTACGAGCTTGTGAATGTGGCTTGTGCTGCGCGTCTTTTCTCGCTTCGGTGTACGACTCCCTTTTCCAATATGGTCTTTCCACATATGTATGTGGGTGTTTGAACTAATTGCTGCGCCGGAAACATACGTAGACGGGCACATATGCACTTCGAAGGTATGCGGCGCCCTGGGGACCGACCTCCTCGTCGGGTCACTTTTGAGTATCTTCAGGGATGGGGATAGTATTGCCTGTGCTGCTCCCGCGTTGCGTGCACTTGGGAATCGCGTGTGTCGTCCTCGTGTCACTGCTCGCATGGTGCTAGCTGATAAGCTGGTCGCCACTTTCGAACGTGTACTGGTGGCGTCGCTGTTTTGTCAGCAAAGATAATATGTACGAACATGGCATACTGTCAGGCAGTCAGCAGCGTTTTGGCGCCGACGTGAATATGCAAGCCACGGCACGCTTACGAAGCGTGCAAGAGATGTCGAGCTCGCCCACATACGTGCATAAGACTTGAAGCACCGGTTCAGCGCGCACACAAAATATTTGCCGTCGCGCCTGGGTGTGTGGCCTCCGTAACGGGCAGGTATACGAGCTCACTGGCCGTTGATTTCCAGTTTTGTGATGTAGCGGTTTTTCGAGTTGTTGCCTACCAGTAGATCCACTCCATCGTATGCCAGCATGGTTTGACTGCAGGTATGTAATAGGCCGGTTTCCCCGACTGTACCGTATCGGTAGATCAGCCGCTCCCACGGCTGCATCATACCACTGCAGGACTGTGATATGTAGAAAGCTGTTCATCCACCGTTTGTATATGTGTTTGCTATTATTTGATTGCTCCTCACCAGAGACTCTGGCCCCAAGGCACGGTGTTTACGTTTTCTTTGTATCATGGAAGCTACCCCCACTCTTACGTCGTCCTCGAACCATGGAAGCTACCCTCGGTCCTACGTCCGTCTCCTTCAATACTCTTGTGTCTACTGTAGGTGTCGCCGAATCGAATCTGGCATTTACCGTGCCTGCACGTGTGTTACCAGAGTATTTGAGCTGAGGTGCCCCACTGTGCGGGCAGGCGTTAGCGGCACTTGCAGAGGGTATGCCGTACCTCCTCGCTTTGCCCGCTGTCCGCGCGACAGCCTTTGTTTTCCCAGCGACGTTAAATATGAACCACTGCAGTTTAGAATCATTCTTACTCTGCATTACTTTCCGTACTGTCTCACCACGCTGCGTACCAAGCCGACATGCGCTGCGTGGTAGTGGGTGCCGGTTTCTCCCGCTTACGAGTGCGCAGAAGCAGCGGCTGCATTTGGACAGCGTAGAACGTCCGATGATTTGGATTTCGGCTGCAGGCACTTGAGGCCTGCTTAACAAACCTGTACGCAGCGTCACGGTTGAATGCGCACTCATATACAGCGGACGTGAGTTTGTGGTCCCGCTATATAATGGATGGCTACGGTGACAACATTCTCCGCTGAGAGGCTTTCATACTGAGGCTGTCTCACGAGAAGTTACGGCAGCTCTGTACGACAGCAGAACCGGAGTTCACGTAGCCTGCAGTATCCGGAGAAGCACGGCCACTGAGTCCACCCAGCGCCAGTACGCCTGCTGCCGTCTACACAAGGGCCACTTCAAGCAGAATTATACGTAATAATAAGCGGCAGAGCCTACGTGGGGGACCGGCGATGCTCATCGTAGAGTAAAGACGCTCTCATTTTGCGCTGGCAACCCTTTGTAGCGCTTCTGCTCTCGCGACAGTCCCGCTTTTCCATTGCCCTGGACTGCTGCTGGCCGCGCTTTAGTACGTTATCTTTTCACAGCTTGGTCAATGTACGTCCTTCTTCCATTTTTCGCGCGCAAGCATCGGTCATCGGCACGCCTTATACCACCCACGCGGCTGACACGGGTTTACCTGGCGCCACCGGGTACAGGTTAAATAGGCCGCTTTGGCACTGGTGACGTTAACTTGCCGTACGACACCGTTATTCCACAGTGCGGTCGAACTCGGGAGGACCGCTCATCGCAGCACCAGCTCATGAGGAGTGGAAGCACGGGCAAGCTTCATCGAGGCGTGGCCGACGGACAGATGTATGCACACATGCGTAACGGATGTTCTGCAAAGACACCTACGTACACACGAGCTATGCAAAACCAGGTAAGTACACAGGAACGGCAGTGAATGCGCCCGCATGCCGTCCTAACCCGTGGTATTTGTTCATTGCTTCTCGGGAGATGGGAAAACTACGTCTCGTATACGCATCAGGTTGTTGTCAGCTGCCCGGGCACAGTAGGACATAAAAGATCCGCGGAAAAGTCACCTAATGTAACCCTGTTTGCCTTGTGGAGCTTTATCGCGTGATCCGTCGTGGTGCACTCGCACGTCATTGAGAAGCGGTGGCATAGCCATAAGGAAGTCACGCGCTGACTTTTCGTTCGACACCGCATGCGCCTTGGCATTGGTTCCCTCGTCGCGTCGTGCTGCTGAAGCTGATGTACCCCCCACGAATCTCTGCCGCTCTTCAGGGGCTTTCTACAAAGCTCCCGCTACGCTATGATCTGCCACGACCAAGACTGGTCTACGATGCAGAGATGCTTTTCCATATACCAGCTTTCTCTGCGTCTGCATGCGTTCTCTCTCAGACCGCAGGTGGTGGCTTCTGCTTTAATCTTTCTGCGTGTTCGCAGCAATGCCGCTGTTTCGGAAGTGGGCGCGAGCCCTCTCCCAAATCGACCTTGGCGTCTCGTCTCACCCGTCTGCCGACCGGCGGGTGAGGCGTACGTAGAGTGAGACTCGCGCACCACCTCAGATCTGCATTGGCCCGTGCACACTTGCGAGCATCTTCTTTACTATCTCAGTACTGGTATCCGCAGGACAGCGATCCCAGCGTCATTACAGCGCCTAGTCGTCCACTTTTTCTTTTGTGTCTTTCCGTCGCCAGTTCTTGAGTTCGGTCAGTGACTCGTTTCTGTGAAGCTCTGCAGACACGACGGCGCCGGCTGTCCCCTGCAGTACGTGGCCCACCAGATCATTTTGTGTTCGCGAGACGGAATCCCGGTGGGAGTACCGCCGCTGTGTGGCTCTCGTGTCCTTTCCATTACGCTATAAAAATACCACAGGGGGCGCTAGAAGTTACGACCAAGCGTACAGAAGGGGACAGCATGCATCTTTTCCCCGTATTTTCTTGTGTCTCCGCATCGAGGTGCTACCAAGAGGAGGCTATCCTCTCGTGAAGGCCTTGGGAACCAGCGCAAATAAATCCCCCATTGACCTGCGAAGAAAGAACAGACACCACCTTAGGACCTATACAAGAACTTCCACCTGCGCTCCCTCGTGTCTCACCCTCGCTGTTGCACTGTTATACCATTCGCATCTGCTGCAGGAGACCTGCTTACAAAACGCTGCTGCTGCTGCTGCCGTTGCTGCGGATCTGCTACAACAGCGTTTTCTTCTGCATCGGGGAAAGTCTTCTACAGGGCGCTGCTGCCGCTGCTGTTGTCTCAGATCTGCTGCTGTGCTGCAGCCTCGCCATTTCTGCCCTAAAACCTGAAGAAGCCTTTTACTGTTGCTCGTGCCCCTCGTGCTGCTTTAAGGGCTCCTGCGCCGTGCTGCCTCCTCTCGCTCCCTCGTGCTGCTCTAAGGGCTCCTTCCCCGTACCTCCCTCCTCTTTTGCTCGCTTTTGTGCCTACACGGTTGCTCCCTGAATCCGTCTTCCCTTCGCTGCGGATCTCGCTGTCGTCGTCCGCCTGTACAATAGAATGTCTTTTTCCCGGGTGTTTGACCGGGAAAGGCGATGTAGGGGGATCACAGGTGCGGCAAGAAGGTGCTGCAGCAGCAGCGCACCTCTCGTGTGCACATGAAGGCTTCGTTTCGCGCTGCTGAAGTGCCTCACGCGGGCAGGGCACGAACGCGTCCATTTATTTTTATATATGGTCGTGGGTGTACGTGTATATAGGCATATATATGTATATGATGTATATAATATATGTTATATGCGCGGCTAGCCGGGGACACGGCTGCGTTCTTCCACACGCACGTCCATATGTACTCCTTAACAGCCTGCAACATATCATAACAGATGAGACGCCTTACGGCACATGCACACTGATTTTCCAGCGTATCTATACCTTCTCTGTAATGCGGCGTTCACGATAAAACGAAGTCCTAGCTCCTGTATTATCGGCATTTCTCCTGAAATACTTCTGTTAGTTACTGCTGTGCGGCCCGCTGCACCCAGCGCCCTTGGTGAGCGGTTCCCGTGGGTAAAAGTATAAAATTGAGCAGAAAAGCCATGCAGAGGCAGTAGCTGAATAAGCGCAAGAACATTTCACGTGTTTAAGGCTATTGGAGCGCTGATTTTTTCTAGCGCTCCGAGAGGGATCGAGAGAGCGGTAGAGTATTACTCCGTTAGATCAGCATTCAACGTCAACTACTGTCCACAATTTAGCCTGGAACTGCGCACGTGTCTGCTAAGGTACCCATGTGGTTTTAGACGAAACGGTATTGTAGAGAAAGGACATCGTTGAGAAGTATATAGAGCAGTGCCCTAGCATGTATGACGTCTCCGTAGTCAGGATCATGTGCATGCACTTGTGAGTTTGCATACGCAAGGAACTTTGAGATGTCCTCCCGGACGGATGGCTGCCTCAAACGAAGGTCTACGAGACATTGCAGGGCAGCACCGTAAGCCTGGACCTCACGCATCTTAGGTACGCTACCCTGGCGCTGACAATGAAGAGCAGGCAGTACCTACGCTGCTCGTGATAACCCACGGCAGCGGCAGTGCTCTGAGGTCTCACTGTCTCGCTGTAGCGCTGTACGAAACACCAGTGTAATTTCCCAACCAAGAAAGGAGAGGGGCGACGGCAAAGAGCGACAGGGGCTGCAGGTCCTGCCAGAGAGCCATGAATGCGTAGACGGCGAGTGCAGGGGGCGACAAACTCGCGCGAGTCTGTTCGTGTGCGGTCATGCATGCCTGACCGCGACTGACTAAGCGCATATATGCGTATATGTATGTACATACATATATTATATACGTATCTGTCCGTGTATACTTGTACATATGTATATATATGTATATGCCGAAACCCAGCGAGCCGCTTTGCATAACACATATGCGTGTACGCGGATGTGGGCGCCCGTGGGCCGTCATCAGACGCGTGCGCGGGGTGTGTACATCCAGCGCACGGCACTGACTCTCTAGCTTCTTGTGGCACCTAGACTGTCCGTCGTTGTGAGCGCTGGCGCGTCATGAACACGCCTCCACGCTCCTGCATCGAAAAAATGCAAAGGAAGCCGGAAAGGCGCGCGTACACGCGCTTCCCCGTGTCCACGTGCACCCCGCACGCCGCTCCTGCCCTCGACGCTGAGCCTATTGAGAGTCCAACACTTTCCACACCCTGGTCATGCGTCGTATTGTTCCTGTCGCTCTCGGTCTCCAGAGGTGCAGCGTATGGTTGTTCCACGGCAAAACGGTCGACGCCGGCGGAACTGCACGCGTACTTTGCTTGTACTTCCAATTTGGAAAACGCGCTCGGGGAAAATGCTAGCAAGCGTACCACAGCAGTCTCGTTCCCTTTTGCGAGTCCGCAGGTTTGCTAGTCCAATCACACGCTATCTAGACAACGTGGGTGTTTACAGCTCCTAGATTTACCCCGTGCATATACACGTAGATGGCCTCTTGTATGATAAAAAGGGCACCTACATGTTCACGCGAACATAGGCTCGGCGGCACCGAAGTACTGTGACGGCAATTCTCTCTCCTGCGCGTTTCCGCTTGTGCACAGCAGCGCGCCAGAAGTTACGGGATCCATTACGCCAACGGATGCGAGTACGAGAGTGGCTGCTCTGTTTGGTGGATTTGACAGGGACACGGCATTCGAAAGCCCGCTCCCGCTCTTTGTGTACAACATGCACGCACCGTTTATACGGCCATGAATCTGCTTTGAGAGCTCATGCTTCTGCAAAACAGCGCCTCGAGGAGCTGCGGAGATCTTTACAGGTCCACACTTCTGATGACCGTGAGTTGATTCTGGATGTATAAAGGTTTGCAGGTATGCGGCATGCAGCGGGCCGTCTCCCGCCTGCCGCGCCTCGCGTCAGGAATACACCTTGCCGCGCCTCCTGAGCGTACCCTTTGCCGCTTATACATCCAGTGCAAGTGTCTCATACGCAGCAGTTCACCCCTCGGGGAATCGCAGCTCGCACAGGCTTCTGAACGAAACTGAACATGAGCTACAGTCCGGTGAGAGCACGCGTACTTGTCGGTGAAGCCCGCGTTCCACTTGGAAAGCAGCATTCGTTCAGTCCGGCCGTATAAGGTTCTCCTTGAGTGTCGGCGACGTCTGTCATGTGTAAAGGCACGCTGCGGGACAGTCGCACGCAGGAAACCGAGCGATGCTGCACTGGGTAGCAGTATTTAGTCGGTTCAGGTACCTCCTTAGTGACCGGCGTACCCGTTCTTTCCACGCCCGTAACAGAAACGTGCACACCGAGGCCGCGTGAAGAGCCGCTTCTACGCGGCGAGACGCGGTCAGATGTTGAGCTTGATGCTTGTACCGCCGTGTCCCCCACTCAAATAAAGGAGTACACTTTTTGCGTTCCGCGCAGTTCTCCAGCGTGATATTGTGTCAGCCGCGTGTTCCGTCCTACTCTCATCATCCTCGCGCGGGGCCGCGCGCTGGCGCCCATTTAGGGTATTATACAGCAGTGCGGCCGCACTATCGAGGGGCCCGAAAACTTCTGGAGAAACTATATAAACATCCTTTTCATTGGTTCTCGTGAAGTGCAGTAACAGGTACGGTGAGGCAGCCTCGCCCTGCACCCTGTGATCGCACTCTTACTATTTATGGGCACGGGTATGTTGCGAAACACCATAGAGCCCACCAGTGGGCTGCATAGAGCAGTGAGAGGGCTCCCAGACTAAATCCCGCGCACCAGAAAGCAAGTTCGCTGCGAAGTTCTTAGCAAAGGCTTGTTATCAATGGCGGATATATGTTACGGCTCATGTGCGCTCGATCCACTGCTTCCGCTGTGACCGCTTCCGCCCTCACTAATGCACCTTCAGTTCCCCCGACCACCACTCCTGCAGCTACCCGTAGGGACTTCATCGGCTGCCGCCCAGGCACATCGTCGCCGATGAGCGCTAGGCCCAGTCAGGTTACGTGGCAATGTACCTGTCCTTACTTCTAAAGAGCGGCTGGAACCTGCGCCGAAGGCGTGCGCCGGGCTCGGAGCTGTGCTTCAGGACATTGCGAAGCTAGACATACCGCGGCTTTCACGTGAAGAGCGCATGAAACCCAAGTTTTGAAAGCAGCCCAGAGCATCGTAATGCAGAGGCGTTCAGTGCCAGAGCATCTAGCGCTTTTCGCGCCGCCTGTAAACCCTGAACTATCTGCAGAGGCAGTGGTTGACCCCCGTGACAGGTGCTCACCCCTGATCCCCGTGTAGGAGATTTTCTCTGTGTACGTGAGGGCAGCCTGTTGAGCTTTTGCCGCGGCGTGTGTGCGGCAGCCGGGTATTACTTGCCATTTGTGGCCTGGTCCAGCGGTTCCAAGCTGGTGTGGCGGGCCTGCACGCGCCGTTACAATTTGGGGGGGACTGCGGAAGACGACACGCTGTGAATGCCGCAGCGTTGGCTGTGGTTTCGCAGTTCCTTTTTCAGGCTACTGTGTACGAGACGCGACCACCACTCAGGATGATGGCTAGCGTGTTGCTGTCCGACAAACGGACGCGAGGCGCCTCCAGCGCCATCAGCTCACCACAGAAAACCTGTCCACGTTCTCGCCGATCACAGCGCCGTCTGTGCAACGGCGCAGACTTCTGTCTGCAGGCCTGCAACCCGCGGTCCGTTTGCTCCCCGTCGCTGGTGAGGTTGTGGCGCATCGGCGCTGCCCGCCTGTGTGCTCGGGGTAGACTCAGGGGAGCAGCTCTCAGAGCGCTGCAAAACGGAGTCTCATTCAAGGAGAGTGCGGATGACGTAGGCAGCAGATGAAAGCTACAAGCTGATGGATGGGTGGTAAGCACACTTCCTGTCAGCGTACCCTGGTGCCGTCTTGTTATGCGACGCCGCTTCTTCGTGCCAGCCGGAGAGCCAGGTTTGCGCAATCCGGACGCCGCCTCTGCTTCCCTTCGTGCCGGGGGTAGAGCCAGTGCAGCACCATCATGTATGTTGCTGTTAACCACGGCTGATCTTATGCCCGAACTTTCCGTAGCCGTAGACGGAACCGTTTGGAGCAGGCGCAACACGTATGAAGCTAGGTTTCTTCCGTGCCGACGGCGCATCCCCGGTTTCCGCCTCAAGTACGTTTGCCACCCTTTGCGGGCTCTTGCAGTGATCTACATACGCGACACTAGCCGTCCGCAGGCGTGATGTCCACGCCGGGTTCCGCCAGGCCATCCCACCGCTTTTTACGACGCGTTCCGCCGTCGCCGGGGACGCGCGCCACCGCTAGTGGAAACGTCTCCTTGTCAACCTCTTCAATCATACGCGGAGCTTTACGACTGCACGGTGGTGCCGTTTAGTCACTGTCGAGCGGCCTGGTGTCCTGCCGTCGCAGGTGATGAACACTGCTACTGTGAAAACGTCTCTTCGGCAACATCCATGATAGCCTGAGCATCGCGACTACAAGATGGCACCGCTTAGTCAGTCCATCAGCCCGAAGCTCACCGTCTCTGGGCCGCTTGCTACCACTCCTGTGAAAACGCCTCTGGCAACGTCTTCTAAAATAGGTTGAGCTCTGGATACACGGTGGCGCCGGTTAGTCACGGTCGATCCGCCTGAAGTTCTACGGTTACCTCCGATGCGTGCCACCACTAGTGTGAGAAAAACGTCTCCAGTACGACGGCTTCCATACTAGGCTAAGCCTCACGTCTACACGGTGGCACTGTTTAGTCACTGTACGGCCTAGAGATCATTACTATACGCGTGGCACTACGGTCCACTAAGTCTATACGTCTCGTACGACAGCATGGGCGGTTTTCAGCCTTGTGGCGGCTGTACACACGTGGAGCATCGGCTACAGGGCGAATGCAACTGGACATATGTCTCAGACTTCGGACCTACTGTTCGTGGTGGCCGGCTGCATTGGAAGCAGGCTCGTTTTGCCCTCCTCCTAGCGTTCTTGACGGCCTCTCGTGTTGCGTTGGCGGCTGGCACTCCGCCAGCGCGACCGCAAGGGCAGCGTCTGCCGCGTCGCGTCGACTGGGTAGAGGGTTCGTCGTCCCCGCGCTGGATTCCTTTGAATCCCTCAGCATGACTCTCTTCGACCTCTAGGCGGGTGTACGCGGTAGCTTCTGACGAAACAGCCGAACCTGCTGGAGATGATGCGGCCTCGTATGCGGTTCAGAATTGTCTTTTATTTATTGGAACTCAGGCTCGCGTACGTTTGTCGCCAAGGGAAGCTCTGCTAAAGGCGCGAATTGGGAATCAGGCACGTCGTGACTTTAGAAGTGCCAAATGTCTGGCAAGGCGTCTGGCGCATTTGGAACTGGATTGGTTCCAAGAGGGACATGACAATCCTCCGGTGTTTCCTGCTGACTGGCGTGTTACACAGATGATACTGCTTGAGGCGTCACCCAGGTCTTGCAGAGTCCGAGACCTGCCACTGTGGAGAAAGATAAGCCACGTTTTTGTTGACGCTACACCTGGTGTTGTACGCGGTGCACACGGATTTTTTCTTTAGGTAATCTAGGCCGTGGGAAACAGGTTCCAACAATATGCTATGGGCGGCAGTGGCACAGTGCTACAGTGCGAAGGGGACGAGATGTACAGAGGACATTTAGCATAGTCAAGCGTGTCTTGTGCAAAGTACAGCGGACACTGTGATTATGTGGTCGCGATGCAAGAGACGGCGGGAACGCGCGCTCTTTCTGTTGGCATAGCCTGCGGGCGTTTACCGCTGTACGCGTATGATGGTAGCTGGGCACGGAACCCATGAGATCGAAATGTGACTTCTGGTGGAAACTGGCTGTGCGAAAATGTGAGGGCGCAGCCAGGCGGGTGGAGAGCTGCCGACAAGTCTATCTAGAGTAGGGGGCATACGAAGTGTGTAAGTGGCGACCTATGATAAGGGAGCGGTGCCCTTCGAAGGCCACGCTACATCCACATAATAACAGGAACAAGCAGCTGGAGTAACACCTCACAGCGTAGGCCAGCGCGCAAGGGAGGGCCTTACCAGCTGAAAAGCAACAGCTGTGAGTTGTCCTTTGTTTGTGTTGTCCGCCTCGTGTTAATTGCGGCTTCAGTGCCGATCCGACTGTCTTGTACACGTGCTTGTCTGTAAACGCGTGGCATTTGAATGCGAGCACGCCCTGGGGGGGGCTTGTACTGCGCTATTTGTCTTCTTTTTATGTATTTTTGTGATTGAGGTACTGGATGCCTTTAAGTTCTGCGAGAGGAGTCAAAATCAGCGTTCGTTGCATTGACTAATTCCCACTTTCTTATCTGTCTGAAAGCACGCCTTCGGTGGAGACGACTCGAAATTGTTGCGTTCAAAAGCTTGGCTAAAAGCGTCTTGGCGCACACTTGGTCGCGCACGATATAAGCGCATACAAGTTCACACACAGTTGCACACACGTGCATAGGCGTAAAGGCTTGTAGGTTTCATTTTTGTTCTTTTGACGGTTCCAGGAGATAGCAGATATCTCTGTACGTGGATCGTTTCATAGATAGAACACGCCTCGACGTACACGAGCACGTAGTGCGCGCCGGACTGCTGAGTGCTTGCGGGGTCAATGTGAGGCTACGAACCGACCACGACGCTAAACCAAAACGCGGACGGTGCATGTCCTCTTTGGAAAAGTGTCATGTCGTTGGAACCGAGCGTGCTGGTGTGCTAGAATTTCAAGTGCTTTTGCGACTGTAAAGATTATCACCCGCCGTGTTACTTCACTGCCTGTTCGCGCTGCGCGCGCTTAGCTGACCACATGTCGAAACCTCGTGCTACTGCGTGCGTGATGCTAGGCTCGTTCTCTGGGGGCAATCTCTGAATGTATCCACGTGGTGATGGTGCTACGTCAACACTTCAAAAATGATGCTTATGAACAGGGTCGCGCCCGTCACGCGACTGCGTTCTGATGACCGCACGCGGTTACGGCGACGTACGACGAACGTCAAATTTGTCGTTATTCGCGTCCGCGTGGGATAGAAGGCCACTTTCTAGTGAAGGGCTGAGCGCAAACTAAGGTTTGGCGGGGCCGAGTAGGTGTTCATTGTTACGTACGAGTGGACCAATCTGCCGGTCATTGCTTGCAAACGGTGTACTAGCGTCTTCCAGCCTTCAGCATACCGGCTGTATTCCGCTCTAGCGTCCCAGCATTATACCCTAGAGCCGGAGCCCCTGAGAAGCCGCCCACCTCATGTCCATATGTCTGTCTATGCGTGCGGTAGCAGCAATTCATTTGTTGTCATTCAGAGGGACGAATGTGCGCCTGAAGCCTTCAGCACATCACGGAGGACACGTCAATGTATGCAGGTCACAGGGCCCCCGTGTACGCTCTGTATGCATTTGTGAGCATGCTTTACGATGGGCAAGGGCAGCAGAACTTCATCTGCAAACCCCGGGCCCCCTCTGCGGCCTGTTGCTGGCGAGGCCGATGCGCGTTCGAGCTGTCCGTCCGTTCCTTGGTGTATTTCGAGCAGACCGGCTCGCACAGCGCTCCATTACAGCGTACAGTCATGGACGGAGACTGCAGCATGTACGACGCGAAGCAGCAGATGTGGACGGCCCGCTCGGAAGCGGGATAGCGGGATAGAGGTACCGTGGTGGTAAGCGACGCCGTCTCCCCTTCATTCGTGCGTGCCGTTGTCAGACGCCGATGGGCCCTTCTGCCTGCTGCTGTCAGCAAGGTCTGAGCTGCGTCCTACTTGTGCGAGTCTGCAGATGGTGAGGGTTGAGAGCGCGCGCGAGAACGGCGAAGCCGCGCGTTTCTCGAGTTGCCACCAGCGCGTCGTCCGCCCTCCCATCCACCAGGTCTGCCACCGCGTGCGACGCCTACCAGTGGTGTTAGGCTGCCGTTTACTGTGACCACGGGTGATAGCGACGTGCGGCTCCGCGGGCACGTCCTTCACAGGCTGAACCGCGTTGTTTACTCTTCTCTTGCCCCTGCGGATGCGTGCCAGCGCCAGTGTACGAGCCTTTTTTTGGCAGGGGTTTTAGTAATAGACCCATTCTCTTGGGCGAGGGCGCTAGTTAGACGCAATCGAGTAACTAGGAAAAAGACGTCTTGCGCCGAGCCGGAGTCTGCTGTTCGTGCGTCTTGTTTAACAAAATGGGCGTTTTCCCGTCTTGTGGTGGCTTCAGACGCTCGGAGAACCGGCTAGAGGATGAACGCGAGTCTACGTGCTCCCTCAGTTATGCAGCTACTATTCATCGTGGCTGGCGGTGTTGGAGTCAACTTCTTCTTGCCATTCTTATAGCTTTTTTGGCAGCTTTTCCTGCTGTCCTGGGGGCTGGCGCTCCTGCAGCACCCGGGGGACGCTTACCACGTCTCGTCGAATGCACAGAGGGTCCTCTCTCACCGCGGTGGTTTCCTCTTGATAGTTCAGCATGGCTGTCCGCGAATTCTCCGCAAATCTACGCGCTGGCTTCTGGCCGAACAACCGGAGCTGCTGGGAGTGATCCGAGATCGTACGCGGTGGAAAGGTACCTTCTCATCACTGGGATCGAAGCCTTAGTTCGTTTGACGCCAGCGGAAGCGCTGATGAAGGCACGACTCGGAAATATGGCAGGTCGAGACCGTGTAAAGGCCAGATGTCTGGCGATCGGTCTGGAAAACTTGGAGTTCCGACATTTTCATGAAGGATGGCCGGATCCTCCTGTGCTGCCCTCTCACTGGCGTACCACAGAAAGGATCCTGCTTGAGTCGTCAAGTATACCCTGCAGAAGCAAATACTTGCCACGGAAGAGGTGGCCGCGCTTTTTCGGTGGCAAGAAACGCTCAGTTATACGCGTGCCAGGCGGGTATGATCTACTTTAGTGCCAGGCTCAGCGCAGAAGCTTTGGCAGGAGATTCGGAACCAAGAAGGAGTGCGGTGCTGCCCCGCTTTAGTGCAGTGAGACAGAGGGGCGCACCCGAGGTTGCCATGGTGAAGTACGTCTATCGCGAACTTCGCCGAACGTGCTGATTTCATAGGGGCAGCGCAAGGCGGGTATGATCTACTTCAGTGCCAGGCTCACCGCACAAGCTTTGACTGGAGATTCGGAAACAAGGAGTGCGGTGCTGTCCCGCTTCAATGCAGAGACACAGAGGGGCGCAGACGACGTTGCCATGGTGAAGTACGTCTATTGCGAACTTCGACGAACGTGCTGATTTCATAGGGGCAGCGCAGAGGCGGCAGGGAATGTTGCCGGCAGTCTGCGGCGTCGTCTGTCGGTGTGCGTTGGTTGCACCCATATACTGCTGCGTGCGTCGCGCACTGACTTCGATTGACTAGGCGGCGGACAAGGGTGTGATGTAGTGAGTAAGGGTAACTTCTAGGGAATGCAGGGGTGTGTCTAGCAGGCTGGAGGGCTGCTGGTCGCTCTTCGTGAGGACAGCGGTTGCTCGAGAGGGAGTATGCGAGGCGGACAAGGGTGTGATGTAGTGAGTAAGGGTAACTTCTAGGGAATGCAGGGGTGTGTCTAGCAGGCTGGAGGGCTGCTGGTCGCTCTTCGTGAGGACAGCGGTTGCTCGAGAGGGAGTATGCGAGGCGGACAAGGGTGTGATGTAGTGAGTAAGGGTAACTTCTAGGGAATGCAGGGGTGTGTCTGGCAGGCTGGAGGGCTGCTGGTCGCTCTTCGTGAGGACAGCGGTTGCTCGAGAGGGAGTATGCGAGGCGGACAAGGGTGTGATGTAGTGAGTAAGGGTAACTTCTAGGGAATGCAGGGGTGTGTCTAGCAGGCTGGAGGGCTGCTGGTCGCTCTTCGTGAGGACAGCAGTTGCTCGAGAGGGAGTATGTGAGGCGCTTAAGGGGTGCGTCGCATGACAGGTAAGAATAAGCGTTGCTGCTCTACCCGCAGGCCATCTTGAAATATGGATCAGGCATATCGGCAAGGACCCCGTGGAAAAGCGCCAAATAGGTTTTGCTAGCATATGACACCAACAGGTATCACCTGCTGGCAAATGATTGACGCTGTGTGTTCCTTGTGTGTGTAGCACTTGGGCAGCTCGTGTGTGCGAGGGTCAGGGCCAGAAACCAGGTCATTTTGTCCTTGGGCTCCTCTGCGTTCGCGAGACAAATAGATCTGAGCATATATCTGTGGACTATTCAGGGATCAGTGTACTTTTCTCTTGCCAAGCGTTAAACAGATTTGAAAGCACTGCAAAAGTGTTTGGCACAAGTATTCGGTATCTTCCAGGCTGCGCCCATCTCTTTCGCCTTGTGTCCGCACACATGCTGGCGTAAGGGACGTCTGTCTCGTCGCTTATCAAAGCTAATCAGCAGGCGGTTCAAGCATTTTCATCCGTACGGGGTGGAAGCTGTGTACAGTGGACCAAGTAGTACACGCATCAGCATATACGGGAACACGGGTCTAGCAGTCGGGAGGCGTCGATTGCCTACCTACGTCACTTTCTTGACAAGAGTTCTTGTCAGTCGTGGTTTGATCTCACGTAGAGCACGGGCCAGCCTTTTTGAGCGGGCGCACGCGTCGGATTCTGCGCGTTTCTGCACGTCTTCACCTATATCGGTCTCGAACCACCATCTTCCTGAACCAGTTATATTAGCCTGAATATGCGTAAGTCTGATCTACAAGCTGTGCCAAAACATATGCATGGTTCGACACGCCTCTCACCTGAAACGGTGCGGTGCCTTCAGCTCCGTGGGCGTTGCTATGCTGTGGTGACAGAGAGGTCCCAGGTAACCCAACCTGGTATCGCGCAAGCTCACATTCTGGTGCTTTCCCAACGTGGCTACAGCGGAACCCGCTGATGCGGCAGCGGTTCAAAGAAAATGCTTCTAAGTGAAGGGCCGAGAGTTGAGTAAAGCGCGTTGGCGCACACCTGTGAGGATGCGAACGTCGGCAGGGGGCCACGGCGCATGCGGGGGTCTCAATCCTGCCGTGGTCACGTCCGCACGGCTTTCAGGTGGCTTCCGGCGGAGGGAAGTGCGCTCTCTAGCTTACTTGTGTGCTGCCTGAGTCTGCCGCTCGGGCAATGGGCGGCCCTTCGCATGCGTAGGTTGTACGTCCTTACGGTCAGTGTTTTATGGCGTGCCCGGCCCCAACGCGGCAGTATTTGCTCCCGCGGCACGCGTAGATCGCGCCCGATCTGGGAACGGTAAAAGACTGGCCGCCCCCACCAAGTCTAGATGCAGTTCCGGTGTTCTGCAGACCCCGCCTGTAGCGTGTAAATTCGGAGGGAAATCGAAGAGAGCTGGGTGTTACCGATGTGTCTAGTCTCGGTATGCGCAACCTGATAGAAAACATGAGACGCGTAGGTTGCGTTACCGTCCTCAATGCGCTGCGTTTGGGCGTGTACAGCAGAAGGGTCTTCCGTGGAATTCCGCTTCACGTGTTTCGTGCTGCTGATATCAGAGCTACACTGCGCCGCAAGACGGCCCGCTGGCGCTACCCTCATGGTCGACCTCTGAGTATGACAGGAGGTCTATGGCCCCTGCGGTTTTGCTTTTTTTCTCGGTGCTATTCGCGGAGTACCTTTCTGCTTCGTTCACAGTCGCCGTCGACTCGGCGCCGGTCTCTCCCAGCTAGTGCTCGGAGTAAGTCTCCTTGTTAGAAAGGCGTACACGGTCTGGATTTAGATGCTCCAGCTGGCTGCACCCGATGCCGACCTATGTTCCGTCCCGTTCTTACGAGTGCGGTCCCGCGAGTCCGCGGAGCAGACGTAGGTGGCGTGGACTCGGTGGAACGTACTATCTAGCACGATTGCGCTGACAACAGTGACGGCGTTTTTCGCTGGGAGACTCGTCTTTAGACTGCGGAGACGGCGTAATCAGCTGCGAGACTCGTCTCTGAGGGGGGCTTCGCGAGGTTATAGGACGGGTCTGTACGAGAGTGCAAGTGGGGCTCAAGCTCAAGTCGTCGGCGAGAGCCAGCTATGTACGGCGGCTGAGCTGTTCACATAGGAGCAGCTCGACTGGTGCTGCGTACGCGAGGGCCACTTCGGATGAAAACTGTTCTGGTGTCAGTGGCGAAGCTCACGCACGGTGGGACAGTAGGCGCCCGTCTCCCAGAGTAAAGACAGCCCCATTTTGTGATGGCACGCTTGGGGGCCCTCCTTGTTTTGGCGGCAATCTGATTTTTTGGGGGAAATTCGCGGGTGCCGCCTCACCTGCGTATGTTATCTTTCTGCGTGGTCGGTTCGCGCGCGTACTCTATGCCGACTTCCCGCAGTAGCAACGTGCCACTGATACCTCTTATCACGGCTTCGCCACTTCCCGCAAAATCTTCTTTCATATACCTGCTGGTCAAGCAGTATACTGTGAGCATGCCTGCTTATTGCGGTACACTGCTGGAGGGCGCCGTTGGCGCCGAGGGCTTTAACCTGGCGTTTAGCGGCGTCGAGGTGGTGCAGGGGGCCTCAAAGGGCCGCGTCTTGCTTTACTCGGTCGTAACCAGTGAAATTCTTGTAGGCATGGTCGCGTTACCACGTGTCGGCACAATGAAATCCAAAGCGCCCTGCAGAGACATCTACGGACGGGAGAAGACGGGGCAGTACGCGCACTAGCATGGTGAACTCGCTTTGTTCGTTCACTGTCCGTAGATAGCGGTTAAAGCGGTTTACTCGGTGCACCTTAAGTTGCTGCTAACGTTCCTTACGTGCTGCGCTTAACGCCTTGTAAAGTGTCAGCGGAAACTTCGCTGCAGTCGTGCTTACTTTTTGGACTTTATTCATCCCCTCTAGCGGCGATGCCCCATAGGGAGGCCGTTAAAAACCGACGAGACAGACCCGCGGAAGGAACGCGTGTCTTCTGGGCGACGATTAGTTTACCGCCCTTCTTCTCTGCATGCTTTACGTGAAGCGAATTTCATGATGAAAAGCAATCCTATCACGTGTTTAGTGAGCACGTTCTTCGAGTTGTCGTTTTTTACTGCCGTGTGGCCGACTGCTCTCTATGCCCGGCGCCAGTATTGAGGAATTTGAGTCGGTACAAGTTTACAGCTGAAAAGAGAGAGCAACGCAGAAGCAGGTAGCTGCTGAAGATGTGGAAGAACACCGTGCGTATCTGCGACTAGTGAAGCGCTGATTCTCCTGACCAGACTGAAACATCGGTCAAGCATATATATTCTGGATCAACAGTTTGCATCGGATTTGTCGTCCGAGGTGTAGCCTGCGGCTGTGCGTGCAGCTGCTGAAGTTTGCAAGTGGCTCTAAACACAACTGTCTATTGGATGGGGAGCAGATACTTGAGCAGTATAGAGAGTAGTGCCGTGGCAAGTATGCCTCCGCCCTACATATGATCATGCGTATGCGCGTGTGAGTTCAAACACACATAAGTTTTAAGATGTGGACCATGCCTATGCAAGGAGCGGGGTCCCGTGAACGCCTGTTTTGAGCGGCTCTGTGCGTGCATTGGCGTACGGTTGGTCCTTACTCTGAGGAATACTGAAAACCGCAACACTTTTAGGCTGGCTACGCCGCTAATTAGAGTGGAGAGCAGCAGTAGCGTACGCTATCGGTATCCCCCTTCGACAGCGGCCGTAGTCTGCGTCAATTTCCTTCCGTCCCGTCGCATTGCAAAAGTATCGTGTGGCCAGGGACTAAGCGAACGACAGACAGCATCAGCAGTGCAAGTGCTGCAGGAGCACCATGAAGGGGCGAGGCACCGAGCACAAAAGTCGACACGCGCGGGCAAGTCTCCATCCGAATTCTGGCATGCACGTGCGTGAGGCACTAATTATATATATGTGTATATACGCCGGAGCTGTAAGAAACACTTTATACAGTACACTTGTGTATATGGAGGCGCACCCTCATGCGTCGTCAACACGTGCACACGGGGGCTCTGCCCTCTGTTAAAGGATATCGCGTGTAGCGGGTGGGACCAGCTTTCTCTCTTCTCTTGGCGCGTACTCCATCACCTGTATGAGCGCCGCCAGAACTGTACGTGTCTCTATGCTGCTGCGTCGGAGGATGCCAATAAACACGACCCCTAAGTGCGGGTGTACCTGCGTGTTTGCGCGTGAAGCTGCAGCCGCACGCGACCCCCAAGGCGAAATTAAGAAGAGCCCAATGCTGCTGATGCTGCCGCGTACCCTGGTGCTGCTGCTGTTGCTCCTGCTCGCGGTTTCATAAGTGCTGCCGCCGCTCCCCCCGTACCCCGCCGGTGTCCTGGTGTTGCTGCGGGCCTCCGAATCGAGATGTCGACTGGCGTCCACACATATATGCCCACTTACGTACTCAACATGTGCGCAGAAGGGAGTGCGACTCTAATCGGCAAGCACTCTATGTGGAGCACCCTCTGGGTCTTCTTTTTCTTGTAGAACTTCTATAACACTGAGGAGCAACACAATTAGGGCACGTACGTAGGCCCACGCTCCTGCAATTCGAAGCCCCCAACAAGCCGGTGACAGGGGTACTCCTGTTTCTCCGTGTCCACATGCACCTTGCCTCCTGTTCCCGTGGAGAGTTTGCTAATAACTTCAAAAGTCTCCGCACCCTAGTTTTAACAGGCGACACAGCAAAAGCCACCGAAACTGCACGAGTAAGCCGCCGGTACTTTTTTTCTGAGCGAACGGTAGGCGGGAAACGAACGCAAGCGTAGCACGTTAACGTGCTTTTCGACACGTGGTCATGCACTGTCCCATCAGCGAGCCGTGCGGCTAACCAGCAGAAAATAAAGAGCACCTAAACCTGACGCGTGGTCCGCTTCTGCATTTGCCTTGATGGAGAATGCAGGCGCGGAACAAGTGCAAGCGTACCACGCTAACGTGCTTTTCTCCACGTGGTTGTGCACTGTCCCGATAGCTGCTCCTGATCCTAGTCGGCAAGGTACGGAAGACGCGCTACAAAGCTTTAATTTCGCCGTTACGTCTCCTCTGTATTCGGAGCACACAATCTGACGGCAAAAGGGCGGCTCTAGAACTGCCTGGAGAGTGTGCCGGTTGCGGGTTCACAATTTGCAGCCGACGGTACTAATTCCTGGGATGCTGTTCCTGTTGCGAGTTCGCATCTGTCCAAGCCGTTCGGCTGTCAAGCCACATTCTGTAGGGGGCGTATACAGACGTATATGTGTGCTGCATTTGCTCCACTATAGACATACGCATGATCTGAGCGTCCTCGCGCACAGTGGAAACGGCGGCTGCATGTTCATGTAAACACGGATTCGGCAGCACCGTAATAAAATGAATTATGTTTCGCGCGCTTCTGCTTGTGAAAGCAGCTTCTCAGAAGTCTTCAGCAGACTTCTACACGCCCACATGTCCGACTACATGAGCCGCTTCTCTAGCCCCAGCAGTTCGCAGATATGCGGCTTCGAGAAGCTTAGTTCCGCGGTCTGTCTACAGCATACGCGCGCCGTTAACCACATAAATGAATCTTTACTGCGCTCTTCTGCTTTTGGGAAACAGCGTTCCTTACGGGTCCATTCGCGCGACCGCGTCAGTCAGTTCTCTATCCATTAGGCCGCATGCAGCGGCCCTCTCCGGGCTGCTGTGTTCAGTAAACGCGCCCCCCGTGAGAAAACTTCTTGCTAGGCTTCCTGGTACTGCCTCGAGCTAGGTATACCTATGTGCACAGCTGGGACAGAGCCGCTCAAGCGTAGGATTCTGGTAATTTACACGACACGAGCTTGTGTAGCACACTGAACGAAAGCGGACAAGGCCCTTAGACACATTTACGTTGGATACCGCGGTGGACGCATTGAAGCGACCCCGTTTTGACTGTAAGGAAAGGGCTTCCCAGTCGGGCCGCATCGGTTTCTCTCGGGAAGTGTCCCGTATCACAGTGTGCGTGCACACGCGAAGTACTGCCTCCGATACGTACGCTCATTTCGGGTGATGGGCGGACGTTTTTCCGCACCCGACATACCGAATAGAAACCGACACATCCAGACCGTGTGAGGAGTCATACCTACAATTTTGGAACCCTGCATGATGCGTGTAGCGCTTTGTTGCGAAGGGGGACGTCGAAGCACACCTGTGTTCCGCACAAGTGTCTCGCCTGACACTGTGTCTGCCTCGTTTTCCGTGTACCATCAGCATCCCCGCACAAAACGTCGTGTGCCGCCCGCTACACAGAACTTTCGAGCAGTGTCACCACGCAACCGAGGGGCCGAGTGACTTTTTCCGCGTTGGCGAGCAGAAAATTGTATTGCTGTCTTCCTCTTTGGCGCTTGCGAATGCCAGTAGTAGGTCCGAAAAGACAGCTCCGTTTCTGGGCACCCTGAACGCCGTGCTACTATTTACTTACACGAGAAGAGCACAAGACGCGTCGCTGCCGACGCGAGGGCAGAATAAAGCAGCAAAAAGCCGTCCGAGTCAAGCCCTGCGTGCCAAAAGCTGGTACGGTGCAGAATAGCTCGCGGGTAGCGTCCCCAACGCTTGTTATCATAGGGGTCTTTTTGGCTTGTGGGCGCGACAGCGCAGCTTTGCTGTGCAGTATAGTCCAGCCGTTACTTCCGCTCCCAGCACTTCGGCTGACACCACTGCGTGCTTCGCTGATGTCGAATGCTCCTGCTACCGCAACTCACGGCAGGACTCGTTCGACAGCTGGCCAAGCGCATCGTCGACGCTGGGTGCTACGGCCACAGCGATCCAGCGCTAAGGCTGCTCACTCCCGTGGAACGACTGAAGTATGCGAGGAAGGTCTGCGGGACCATACCTTTCTTCTTCTTCCTAAGAAAGTAGCAGGGATAGTCTACTGCTGGACGCCTTTGCATCGGGATGGTCTGGGTTGTTCTTGATAGTTCTTTGTCGAAGGTTATTTCCGCATGAGGCCGCGGTAACTCGGGTGCGAAGTTAGCACCTCCATCAGATTGCAAGGGGGGAACCATAGTCGAAAAAGGGGTACACGTAGTCATTCAGGCGTCTTCTTAGCTCTGATACGTTTTACGTAGGAGGCTAGCTCGAGACACACTGCCCGCGGCGGTCTTTCGCTGCCTATAATTGGCACTTTTCCGAGAGGCAGAGGTTGTTTCCGGCGAGAGCTGCGCACGCGTGACTTGTGAGCGCGTCACCTTCTCTCAGTCTACGTTGCGGCAACGTGTTATGTTACACCCCAGCATGCCTGCAGCAGTCCGGGTCTGCTCGCCATCCGCGGCTCAGGCCACGCCCTCAAGATGCTGTCGTGGGCCAGCAAGCGGCGTCCCACTCCGAGTCCTCCGGGAGTTGACACACTGCAGGCTGCGCGCGACGCGCCTGTAGAGCGGGTCTTTCGGCAGTTTATCCGTCCATAGGATACTGAGTACAAGCAACCGCGACCTCTCAGAACGATACTTCATATCTTATTGTTCAGGAGAGGGAGGCGGATTTCGCCCAGTGCCTTCGCTGCATTGCAACAAGCCACTGATGTGTGCAGACCACGACTCCCGCGGATAGTCTCCACTGGCCACCCGCAGCCTTCATCCGCTCCTACACTGTACGAGGGACGAAGGTGGCAGACCTCTAACTGCGGACCGCGCGTCCGTTCGCGGCCCGCTTCCTGGCCTGGTGACCCGCGGGTGCTTATGATCCTGTTTCCAGAGCAACGCAAAGTGAAGTACTATCCAAAGACTGCAGCCGATATAATGGACACGAACCCCACTGTTGTGGGGGCGGGCTAACGCGATCTTCATTGACGTGATGGGGGAGCGTGTCGTTCTGCGGCGCCTTCTCCGCTTTCTTTTGTGAGGAAGTAATCAAGGGTGGGGATCGCGCGCCCCGAACGCCGCCGTTAACTAGAGCTAGACCTAGTGCCCTGGGTTTACGTAACTGCTCGTAAAGCCGCTACAAAGCGTGCGCAGGCAAGGAAAATCAATCAGGTCACTTGTGCAACAGTGGCGCTCCCGCCATCAGATATGCTTGCCGCCGCTTCAAGCTCTTGGTGTTGTAGCATACTCGAATCCTGGTGTGAGCAGAGAAGAAGACTGCAGTGCGGCTCCTCCAGGTCACAGCTGAGCATCTGCCTGACTTTTTGTCCGAGCCGCAGTCAACTACTGCTAGGTACGCGTGCGCACACCGGTGCGAGAGCCTACCTACGACATCCTCATCAGCAAAATATTCTGGTCTTTCCCTTGTTGAAGGCGCCATTTAAACTCTCCCAAGAAAACCAGTAAACTCATCAGGCGCATGGAACCAGTGCTGACGGAATAGATATCTCTCCTTTAACAAGATGGGCGGTTCCAAGTCGTTCGGCGGCTGCAGACGCTTGCAGCTTCCGCTACAGGTCGAATACGACTCCGCACATTACCCAGTTGGTGGTCCTCCTAATTTTCGTGAGTGCCACCACTGGACTCCACATTGCTTGACCGTTCTCGTATTCTTCCTGGCGACCGGTCGTGCTGTGCTAGCGGCCGACGCTCCGCCAACACACGGGCAACGCTGGCCGCGCCTCGTCAATGCGGGAGAAGACTCCTCGTCTCCGAGGTGGATACCTTTGGATAGCTCAGCATGGTTGTCTGCTAACTCCCCGCAGGTATACGCGGCAGCTTTTGAGGAAGCAGCCGGAGCCGCCGGCAACGATCCGACGGCGTACGTGACTGAATCGTTTCTACTCGTCGACGGAATCGAAGCTCTCGTGAATTTGGCGCCAGCGGAAGCTCTGGTGAAAGCACGAATTGGAAATATGGCCAGTCGACATTATGGGAAAGCCAAATGTCTGGCACTGGGTCTAGAACGGTTGGAACTACAGCATTTTCAGGAAGGATGGCCAAATCCGCCTGTGTTCCCTTCTGATTGGGCTACAACAAAAAAATATCCTGCTTCAGGCCTCAGGTTCTTCGTGCAGAGCCAAATACTTGCCAGTGAGGTGGAAGTTGGCGTGCTTCTCCTGCTACGGTAGACCTTGTACTATACTACACTTACCAGGTGGTTATGAATTACTTTGAGATACGGCTTGCAATACAAGCTTTAACAGGAGGTCGAGGGAGGAAAAGGAGCGATGGTCCACTACATTGCGAGGATGAGGAGTTCCGGACACGACACTCTGCGTAGTGAAGTATGACGACTGCAAACCACAACGCACACACAATATATAAGAGGGGCATTGTAGGGACGGCACGGAATGTTGACAGCGATCTGCTGCGCAGTCCCTCAGTTTCTGTCGGCTGCACGCGTTTACTGCTGGGTTCGTAGTCTGGTAACCCGACCAACTACGGGGAGGACAAGAACGCGATATATAGAAAAGGATGACTTTCTGGGGACGGAAGGGTGCAGCAAGCCTCTGGGGAGCTGCTGGTCACTCTATCAAGGGAGAGCGGACGCCGCAGAGGGCGGCCTACGAGGTGCTGAAGGGGATCGCTGCATGGCAGCCAAGAGTAGGCCGGTTAGAGCAGCAGGCCGGTGCAGGGTGTGGTACAAGTCCACTCAGAGGGACCGCGTGGAAAAGCGCTTCACAGGTTACACTAGCGCAGGCCAACCGGGGGTTTCGCTTGCTCCGGAAAGACCGGCTGTAGTGTGTCCCTTGTTCGTACAACGCGCGAAAATTTTTTGCATACCGCAGTAGCGGCCAGAAACTCGTTCGTTTCCTCCATGAGCCTGTCTCGTCCGCGGGGCAATTAAATTGGAACAAACCTCTGCGGGGACGCAATGGTCAGGAGTTTCCGCTTTCGTTGTGTAATCAAGGTGTATACTAAACAGGGTTGAAAGCACTGCAAGAACATACCAGAAATGAACGCCGTATTAAACAGGCTGCTCATTTCTACTACCTCGTGTGTGCACACATGTTAACGTAGGGAAAGTCTATCCAGTGCCGTATTGGATTCGGTTAGAAAGAACTTCAACGCATACCCAGCTGAATAGGGTGGAAGCGCTATACAGTCGATCGAGAAGCACACACCCCAACCTACGCGGAGACACGGATGGTACAATTGGAAGGCGCCGGTCTCGTCCCCACGTCGCTCTCTCGACGCGATGCCTTCTTAGTTGTAGTTTGCCTCTTACGTAAAGCACGGGTCAGGTTACCTCAGCTGGTGAGAGCGCTCGTGCCTCCGTCGCCGAATTTGTCGACCGTAGTTTGTGTCTTTCGTAGTGATCGCGTCCGCCTATCCGAGTGGGTGGCAGCGTCGCGTCCTGCGGGGCTTTACACAGTCTGACATATATATCGACATTTAAGTGGGACTACCTTTCTCGAGACGAATAGGTATGCATACTCACGCGGAACTTTGGAATGGATGCTGTGCCAGAGTTATGAACGGCCTCACCCATCTCGAGTATAAGAGAGTTCGGCCCACTGAGCGCCCAACGTGTTAGTATGCTGTAATAATGAAGCGCTTACAGGAAAGCCGACTTGGCATCGGAGGAGCTTACATTCGGATGCCTCTTGAACATGGCTGCTGGGGCATTCCCTGGCAGCGGCTAAAACAACTGTTCCAAGTAGAGTGCAAAGAGCTAGGCCAAAAGCGGCTTGGTGTGCATCTTGAAGATGCGAGAGCCCGCATGCCTCCCATGGCGCACGCGGGGTGTCAGGCCTGCCGTGGTGACGTCCATAAGGCGTTCAGGTGATTTCCAGCCAAGGGTACTGCACATTCTAGCTTTCCTGGGTTGCGTCTACGTCTTTCACTCAAGCAATGAACGGCCGGCCGCGCGCTGGTTGTACGTCGCTGTTGTCCCTGTTACGCGGCCTTTCTGGCGGTGTCGTGCCACCCTTAGATAACATTGGACGTGGGAGCCGTAAAGGGCTGCTGAGAACGAAGCCTAAGTGCTATTTCAGTGTTCTGCAAACCCCGCCCGTAGCGTCTGGTGTCCGTGATAATCCTAAAAAAGCTGCTCACCGCCGCGTCTAGGCCCCTTTGGTTGCACGTGTGTCCTGTCTCAATATCCTCTACCGGAAAAGGAACGTGGCGGTGCGTACGTCGCGTCATCGTACGCACTGCGATGCCTGTGGTCCTGTATATACGACGGGACGTCCCCGAGAATCCCTTCTGCTTATTCGGCGCTGCTGGGGGTATCGTTACACTGGGCCCCAAGCCGGTGCGCTGGCGCTTTCGCCGCCGGTAC